AAAAAAAAAAAAAAGAAATGAATGAGAAGCTCTACAAGCTGCCTCCTTCCCCTGTCAAAAATTTAAAATTCCCTGAAAATATTCAAATTAGCAAGGTATTATCAGTTTACTATAAAAACTTTTCTAGGTCTTGCACCTTCTTTAGAGGGTTTATCTTCAATTAAAAATGTTTCCATTTCTCTATAGGTCAATAAACTTTTAACCAAGTAAATATTGGTTATATATGTTTATGTGAACATGCGTGTAATCAATTACACTCATATTTTAAATTTATTATGTAATTATAGAACATAGTTTTCATTTATAATTTTGTTACCCATAGATCTATGATTATTTAATTTCTCGTGCCTTATCTTTTATATTTTCCTTTTCTCTATTTTTCTTGCTGAGTAGTGCCAGAGGTGGTTTAATTAACCTGCAAAGATCTTACTAAATGATCAATAACATCAAAGAAAAATAGCCCAGCAGTGAGTAAATAACTTAACAATCTATGATAAAATCACATAGATTATCCACTTAACATCACAAATATATAATCCATAATAAGACATGGATATTTTTACACAAAATAATTATTATGGACAGAACCCATATCACACACACCTAAATTTCAACTATGTAGACAACATGTCTTATTATTAGCAAATATTAGAAGATATTAACACTACTGTAATTAGTTATAGTTTAGGAAGTCATTTGATTCTTTGTTATTTAAATTCATAGTAAAATAATTCACAGTAAAAAAAATAATTCTGGAAAAGGCAAAACTATGGAGACAGTAAAAACATGAGCAGTTGCCAGGGGTTGGGGTGGGGAGAGAGGTTAATAAGCAGAGCACTGAGGATTTTTAGGGCAGTGAAACTACTCTGCATGATACCATAATGATGGGTACATGTCATTATACATTTATCCAAATCCATAGAAGGTGCAACACGAAGAGTGAACCCTAATGTAAACTATGGACTTTGGTGATTATCCTGTCTTAATATAAGTTTATCAGTTGTAACAAATGTACCACTCTGGCTGGGGATGTTGATAATGAGGGAGGCTATGCAGGTGTAGGGGCCAGGGGATATGGGAAATCTCTGTGCCTTCTCCTCAATTTTGCTCTGAACCTAAATACTGCTAAAAAATAAATTGCTGGATCAGCTCTGTGGACTAATGGTTAAATTCAATGCACTCGGCTTGGGCAGCCTGGGCTTCGGTTCCCAGTTGCAAACCTACACCCCTCATCAGAGGACATGCTGTGGTGGCGACCTACATACAAAATAGAGGAAGATTGTCACAGATATTAGCTCAGGGCAAATCTTCATCAGCAAAAAAAAAAAAAAAAAATTGTCTTAAATTAAAAGCTAAGCTGTTGTTTGTCACAATCTACTTTACTGCAGCTGTATCTTGTGAGCCACCCCCAGCCATATCCAATGGAAACTACTACAGCAGCAATAGAAATGCTTTTCAAAATGCAACAGTGGTCACTTATCGGTGTCTCACTGGGCCAGATGGAGAAAAGCAGTTTCACCTCATGGGAGAACAGTCAATATCCTGTACCAGCAAAGACAATAACCTGGTGTTTAGAGCAGCCCTCCTCCTCAGTGTATTTCTGCTAATTAATACACAACTCCAGAAGTTGAAAATGGAATTAGACTACCCGGAAATAGGAGTTTATTTTCCTTAAGTGAGATTGTGAGATTTAGATGTCAGCCTGGCTTTGTCATGAGAGGGTCCAACATTGTGCAGTGCCGGGCCAACAACACACGGGTGCCTGAGCTGCCAAGCTGCTCCAGGGGTGAGTTTCATCCACTGAGACTCTGCTGGGGACGTGTGAGGGAGTGTAAATGATAAGAGCTGTTGAAATTAAGGAAGAGTGTGTGAGAGTGTGTGTGCACACACAAGGACTATGAAGTTGGTATAAACACTAAACATAACACTAACTCTTCTGTGTTATCTCTGATAATAATAATTGTCAAAAAGTAATGGTTTACCCTGTGTCATCTGTAACACACACATTTTATAGGCATTGTTTAATTTAATACTTAGAGCAAACATATGATGTAGGAACTATTCTTATTCCTGTTTTACATTGAGAAATCTGAGTCTTAGAGATGTTAAATAAACTTTCACAGGTCACAGAGCTAGTAAATAATGGAACAAAGCCTGGAATTCAAGAGCCTTTCTGATTGCAGAGCCTACTGACAATGTATAGTGAAATGTATGATGAATATAATATACGATAACAGTGACATAGATCTATTATTGGAGGGGGTCAGTAGGCAAATGAGCCATGGGACCTAAAAGACAGCATCAGATTAAAAAGGCCTTAGACTTCACTCATTCTCTTCCAAACTCCCCATGTTATTACTGAAAACTCGGAGGCTCTGAAAGGGGAAATGACTTGCTCAAATACAAGCAAAGATTTTTTTCATTTTTATTCGTTTATAATCATATGCTGCATAATGACATATGGATCAATGATGGACTGCATATACAATGGTGGTCTCAAAAGATTAGTACCATACAGCCTGGGTGTATAGTAGGCCCTACCATCTAGGTTTGTGTAAGTACACTCTGTGATGCTTGCACAATGACTAAATCACCTAACGACATATTTCTCCGAACGTATCCCCATCATTAAATGACTCATGACTGTATATATGGTTCAGATTGAGACTCAAACGTTTTCTGATGCCCTGAGCACACATCCACTGGGCTATTAGAGGCAGCCAAAATTTGAGTCAAAACATGCTCTAAGCCATATGTTCTCTTCAGAAATTCTATAGCTTTATTCTTTTGAGGGAATTTTGTTCTTGATGGCATCTTTGGTCTTCTTGTGCTGAAATGGCTGGCTTAGCAGTGGAGTGGGAAGAACCTGGGCTGGCACATAGAGAACAAGAGAAGGCTTACAGTTCTGAAAAAGGAGCTGGGAGGAAAAATGAAGAGGGACATGTGACTGACTGTACAGTGAGCTAGGTGAGGGGGTCAGTTAGATGAGACTTGGGCAAAAGTGTCCCTTGTTGTTGCCAAAAAGGCTACCTTTCTAGGAAGTGTAAGAGCAGAACAAGCCACCAGCACTCACGGCTCTGTACTGGACAGCCAGTACCCGAAAGCAAAAGGAATACTCTGCTTCTAGTCTTAGGAACATTTTAGTAGAAGTAACATAAACAAGGTGTTGGAGAGACCTTGGTTCTAGTCACAGCTCTGAACTGGGGCCTTAGTTTGCTCATCAATAAAACAGGGGTACTGAACTACTAGATATTTTCTTTTAAATCTATACTCTGTAATGAGGATTTTTAAGCTCCCCGGCAGGCAGAGGGTATAGCAAAAGATATTTCCAAATAACTGACAGGTACTTTGCTATTCTTTCCCCAGCATGTCAGCCACCTCCAGAAATCGCACATGGTAAGCACACCCTAAGCAACAAGGACGACTTTTCCCCTGGGCGGGAAGTGTTCTACAGCTGTGAGCCTGGCTATGATCTCAGAGGGGCTGCTTCTCTGCGCTGTACGCCCCAGGGGGACTAGAGCCCTGCCACCCCAATATGTGCAGGTGCCTACACTCTCATCTGGGTCATAATCAATGATCTCTTTGTTCCTCACATGGCAGTCTTACTTCTTTTTTTCCATCCTAGTGAAATCATGTGCTGAATTCCTGGACCAATGCCCTAATGGTCGTGTGCTCTTTCCATTTCATCTCCAGCTTGGACAAAAATGTCCTTCATTGGTGAGGAGGGGTGAGTGTGACCTGGAATAGAGACCAGGGACTCAGTGCTGGATAGTGACTCTCTTGGGTTCAGGGGTTAATCCAAAAAGTGGGGCTGACCTATGGAAAAGAAGTACCCAGGGAGATTAACTTCTGGGTAGTTTTGAAATAAGGGTAAGGACTCAGTGGCACCAATATTACGAGATTTAAAAAAATGGCACATATAATTCAATGTGGAGTACAAACATAAATATAGACACTGATCTTGAATTCACAGTTAGAACTTGAAGTAAATGGGTAAAGAATTGTTTGGAGGCAAGAAAATAAAATTTACGGGCCGGCCCCGTGGCTTAGCGGTTAAGTGCGCGCACTCCGCTGCTGGCGGCCTGGGTTCGGATCCCAGGCCCGCACCGACGCACTGCTTCTCCGGCCATGCTGAGGCCGCGTCCCACATACAGCCACTAGAAGGATGTGCAACTATGACATACAACTATCTACTGGGGCTTTGGGGGAAAAATAAATAAATTTAAAAAAAAAAAAAAAAGAAATAATTTAATGGGAAGTTTGCTAGTAAAAAATTTGATATATAAGACAAAAATTGTTTGCAATGTGATAAACGTCAGGCAAGCATTGTTTCAAGAAACCTAAAACCAATCAATAGTGGAATTTGTAACAGTGTATGGATAATTATTTTTAATCCAATCATAAATCTTCACATCAGTAATGTCTTTGACACTGGGATCTAATGGCTGATGTTATTGTCTCAGGTAGTGTTATTAGACATTTATGTGGAGCTAGTACTCCTGGTGGTCTGTACTATATGTGTGTGTGAGGGACCAAGATTGGGCAATACAGCAGTTATTTTCAACAATTTCCAAGGAATCTTTGACAATTACAAAACCTCCCACCCAATAGTGATCTGCAGATTTCATAAGGACAACAGGAGCCATTAATAAGCTGGGCCTTTCAGGGTGGCAAAGACTCCTCCCCTCATCCCTCTTTTTTTCCTAGCACATCTAGTCCAGTATGATCCTGTGAGCCTCTTTCTGGCCAATACAAATGTCGTGGCAAGAAGAACACTGCTATTCTCTTTCCAGATGTTCTCTGCTTTGCTCAGATCTAGAGCTGTTCTTCCTCATGACCCACTAACGAGAATAAGTGGGTTGTCAGAGGGCTGTCAGTGAGAGATGGTGTGGGTCTAGGGCACAGGAAAGAGTGTAGCCTGTGTTCAGTGACTTCTTAGGTGACACTGGGCTATGACGTCAGTATGACTATTAAGTGTACAAGTTCTGATAGCTTTGCATGTCACAGGATATTGTGATTCTTTAGAACAATCTGGCTTCTGAATTTCTGCCCACTACAGAATTCAGGTCTCTAATTAACCGAGACTTTTATCTGGACCTCAATCTAAGAACCAAATGGTATTTAGGCTGAAGTGAGAAAGCTGAGCATCTATTAGTGATGAGATGAAGAGAGAGATGGGAATTGCTCACCCATTTTACCCCTTATTATTCTTTAGGTTCTGATTTAAAGGCAGCTCTGCTAGTCACTGTGTCTTGGTTGGAATGAAAAGCCTTTGGAGCAGCAGTGTTCCTCTCTGTGACCATGACTAAAAGGAACAACTATGCAGGCTGGCTATTCCCCTTAGTTTTATTTCCAGTGTATTTTGCCTCGTGGAATCACCTGCTCTCTGGATCTTATCTCACTAAATTACTGATAAAGTACTTCTTTGTTGGAAGAATTTCAAAGGGGTGTTGTAGGTCTTATACATCATATGTTTATGTTACTAATCTGTAAGTCCGTAGTTTAATGCCAGGGTTGAAATCTGTAGAGAATATGTTGGGAGAATATAGATGTCATAAAAGTACACCAAAACTTATTTATTCATTTATTTGTTAGTTTTGCCATCAAGGAATAACCTCTGTGGGGCATCAGAAATGGCCACCTCAAAATGTGTCTCTGGCTTGATTATTTTTAAGAACAAAAGACTCTGAAAGAAACCCCTTAACTGCCTAAAAGAATTTAAGATAGAAGGCCTGTTCCAGGAAGGAGCTAATACTAGAAAATGACATTGTCTACAGACAGCCCAGCAAACACTTGTTTAACAAATATTTGCATTTCCATCTCTGTATAAACTGCCTTCTTCTCCTTTGAATCCCCAAACCACTACTCCCAACATCCTCCTTTGTCTTTAGCTGAAAATGATATTTAAGGTGGCAACCTCGGCCATTCTGGCAACTCGCTCAGTTTTCCTGGATTTCTCCCACATATACATGTTATAAAGCTTTGTTTGATTTTCTCCTGTTGTTGTCTCATATCAATTTAATTCATAAGCCAGCCAGCCAGAAGAACCTAGAGGGTAGAGGAATTGTCTTCCTCCCCTGCAGTTTGGCGACTTGAATGGGATAAAACTTCACTGGCTGCTCACTGCTCACTCCTGGACTACTGCAGCTGAGAGATCCTGGACCCCCGACAAGAGCTGGCAGGAGGTAAGAGTTCTTACACATCAGTCTACCAGATCTCTACCTGCAGGGTCCAATGGAAGTAATAGTGGTGAGTTTTATGTCCTTTGCTAAATTTAGATTAGCAGGAAAAGATATTGGTGAAGCTAGCTTCTTGAACTCAGCAACTCTAGGAAATCTGGTTTGAGTACTCATTGGTTTATTGATCCTTTTCCTCCCAGAGAAGGTCACTATTTTCCCTTGGTCTGTCTTTTGTGTTGTTTGTCATAAAAAGGAAAAAAATAGGGCAAGATGCAGGCATCTATAAGCCTGTTGTCTAGGAATATGCACATGCGATGAAAGCTGTTGCTAAGGGCATCTTGGAAGCCAAAAAGGCTGCAAATTTGGTGGGCATGGGTTGAGTAGTTAAAAGCCATTAGGGCGCTCACCACCTCAAGAAGACTTCCATGATAGGATAAGGTGGGTCATGGAACAGAGTAGATGACACAGGTCCCCAGTCAACTTCAAGAAAATGTCTGTGAAACGATGAGGTACTCTGTAAAACACACACAGTCCCCAACCCCGCAGCACCTCCCTCCTAGGTGTTAGTCTGGGTCCAAGAGACCCAAGGTTTAGCTAAAGCTGTTAATGTGATGAGGTTTTTTCTTTTGTCTTGTTCTATGTCTTGAGAGCTTGGCTTTGTGACTTTCCTGGTCCCTGCCATCCGGGGGATGCATGTACCAGTGTACATCTTGGCAGCCAGTCAAATAGACTAGGTTTCTGAGATGCACTCTCTTTGTCTGGCTGTGTCAGCTCACAGGGGAGTCTGTCATTAGGGTCCCAATTGCTTTCATGAGGGGCCTTTGTATTATCAACCTTCCTTGCTTCTTGTGCAATGATGGCCTTTGCTTTCTTATACTATTTTTGGGAGTGAACTTTCTGGATATCTTTTGGGGACACCTCTTGTGTCCATGGTTAAGCTTATTGGTTTGACTTGCTAAGATCCTACTTGTCAATATGGCCAGACAATGGGTCATATAAATTGGAAAAACTTCTAAATTGATAAAAAATTTTTGAGAGCTCTCATCATAATTGTTTTATTGGTACCTATGAAAAGGCCAAATTAAAAGAGAAATACAAAAAAAAATTACTAACCTTAAGACCCTGACTCAGGCTACAATTAAATTAAAAAAAAAAGTAAAAGTATAAATGTTGATAAGATTACAAAGGTTGGAATGTTTGAGCAAATTTTATCAAAAAAGTTTATATCAACTTTGCCTGAATGTGTTTTGAAAATAGACCTTATCTCTGACTGGGAATGCTTCCCCTATTCAATAATATAAGACTGAGACCTATTGATAAAGTCCCAATGAAAGCTATGATTAGAGGTATAAGAGATGAAGGAATTAAGTGATATCATTTCTTTTTGCGTGATTTTATTATAAATTGTATTGTGAGGATAGACATTGTGTCTCACTGGGGAACATTTAGCCTGCCTGATTATAAGACAGCATATAAATCTGCCCTTTAAACAATGTTAACTAGACATACTAAAGGGAAGTCACTAGGGTTGCCTGAGCCCACACTGTATGAAATAAAACCTAGAGGCTAGGGGCCAGCCTGATGGTGTAGTGGTTAAGTTTGCATGGTCTGCTTTGGTGGCCTGGGGTTCGCAGATTCGGATCCCAGGCGTGGACCCACACACCACTTATCAAGTCATCTTGTGGCAGGCATCCCACATATAAAGTAGAGCAAGATCAGCATGGATTTTAGCCCACGGCCAATCTTCCTCAGCAAAAATGAGGAGGATTGGCAACAGATATTAGCTCAGGGCTAATCTTCCTCACCAAAAAAAACCCAAACAAACAAACTAGAGGCTAATATCAGGTGCTAATAAGAAGGATAATAAAAACCCCCAAAGGTAAATTGGTCTAGGGTTAAATTGTACACTTAGAAAAAAAGGCCTTAGTTAAATGCTTTCTATAGACTTTTAAAATGATGTGATACATTGTGCTGAAGTTTTAGAGCATAAAAATCTTTTATTCACCTCTTAAGTTAAAAATTTCCCTGATACACAGAAGCAATTGGAAAACTGTAGCTGGAAGGGTAGATCAACCTCTTTTTGTCATTCAGACTGTAATCCAGTTCTTTGAGGAACTGGAAGCAACTATCTTTGTCTTGCAAATCACTGCAAGGCTGAAGTTATGGCTCTAGAAAGTAGTTCAAAGCTCACATGTGTCCTTTTGCAAATCCCAAAGCCTCCCCTGTTCCACTAAAAAGCTATGTAGACTTTCTGCTTCCATCTTCTCTAGGACCCAAGAGTCATTCTTTGAAATGCAAATGTTTCTCATAAACTAGTGAATTTTGTACTGCACCTGATTCATAACAAAAATTTAATGGAGGCTATAAAGTCTCTGTCTGTGTCTACCTGTGTCTTCATGTATGTGTGTGCATATATGTTGTAAATGTGAGATATTTTTCTACTTCTGGATGGTATGGCAAAAATTAAGAGCTTTAATTAATTGGCTTAAACTAAGCACTTATATAAATTATTTCTAAAAGTACAAGAAACTAACCCAAATGTCTTTCAAGTTAACATGATATGAAATAATCTTTGGTGAATGAAAGCTTGTTTAAGTTTGTTGGTTTGATTAAAATAGACATGTCCTCAGAGTTATCAGCATTGGATACGATGCAGACATGCAGCCTGGGTTTACTAGTGAAATAAGCTCATGTTATCCCTGTTACAAATTTGTCAGCAAAATAATAGCTTTAAATAATAGCTAATTTTGTCTAATGTCTCATGAAGTTTTCATTGGTAATCTAAACATAATTGTCGGGAACAAATGATTTATATGTAAGCGGGATAAGAGTTTATAGATAAACTTTTAGCAATAATTATAGTTTATCACATTTGTACATAAAATAGCTTCCAAAGTCTTTTTGGTAACTGAAACTTTGAAGTTTTGCTAGTTTAATTTAAATGATAAAAATTCATTGAGTATGTAGATCATTTCCAAATAAGAGAAAAGTTAAAACAGTAATTGCCAAATACGTTTAAGTTTGCCTACTTTTGTCTTATTACAGAGAAACTAAAAAGTGTTTGAGTCTATTGGTAAACATGTCTTATATTTTATTAAAAGATTGTACTATGAAGTAACATGTTTCTAGAAATTATGAGAAGTATTTATAAATTTTCCAAGCCACAGAATGCTAATGTAAAAGACAGTTTAAAATGCTTATTTAGTTTTTACTTAAAAATTAAGGGTAAAAAAATTAATATGTATGATTAAATCCACTAAAAATTAATAAGAGAAATATCTTTGTATTCAAGGAAAGTAAAGTGTATGTTTTCAGTGAAAAAGGTATAAATGATGGAAATATTTCTGTTTCTTTAGTTAGGAAACATAAATTTGTCCTAAAGTACTAGGAGGAAAGGAAAAATGGCATGGGACAAATTCTGAATGTAAAAAAAAAAGTTATAAAAGGTGTGTGGATGAGGAACCCTGAGAAAAGAGTTGTACATAGTCAAGTTGGCTAAGATTGAAATATTTAATTAAATGAATTAGCATTATATCAAAAGTAAGCTGGTGCAAAATTAAAATGTGGTTCTCTCACAATAGTTTCTTGAACTTTTAGTCTGCTCTAGATAAAAGAAATTATGAAAGGTTTTTTCATTGAATAGTCTACCAGAAGGGTAGGGATACTATGTTTTACCAAAATAAATTTCTTGTATTGTTTTTATCAGGTCTTTAATCACAGATGCTAAGGGTTTTCTTACAGCTATTTAATCTTCTGCATTTGCTTAAAAATCTTTAATTGTCAGCATGATAAAATGGATACCAAAACATTGTTTCATAGGGACCTATGATATTATGTGGGTGAATGTTATTGGTATAAGTGTTTTAAAAATTATATCACATTTCTAAAATTCTGATCTGTCCTGGTTATCAGTCATAATTCTAGTTATTACCTTAAAGTGTTGTATGTCACAGAAATAGCCAAGTTTCTTTGTCAATTGCCATTTTAAGTCTTTCTCATTGACAGACAAGTTTTGTTTTACTCTGCTTTTACAAATGTTTTCATCTTTAGAGAGATTCATGGAAAGTACTGTGACACTTACACCAGAATACAGGTTTCTGATAAACTTTCAGATCATAAAAC